CATGTTACATAAACTGGGAACATCCTGATGCACGTTCAATAAACTGGAAACATCCTGATGCATGTTACATAAACTGGGAACATCCTGATGCATGTTACATAAACTGGGAACATCCTGATGCATGTTACATAAACTGGGAACATCCTGATGCATGTTACGTAAACTGGGAACATCCTGATGCATGTTACATAAACTGGGAACATCCTGATGCATGTTACGTAAACTGGGAACATCCTGATGCACGTTACATAAACTGGGAACATCCTGATGCATGTTACGTAAACTGGGAACATCCTGATGCATGTTACATAAACTGGGAACATCCTGATGCATGTTACGTAAACTGGGAACATCCTGATGCATGCTCAAATATATATATATATTTTTTTTCTCCTCCCAGGCTCTGATCGAGGTGGCAGCTTCTGTTTCTCCTCCCCCGTTTTTTCCTTCTTCCTGCTCTGCTCTCTGTCTGTCTGAAGCGCCTGGGTCTCATCTCCCGGACATAAATTAAGAAGATTATGGATTTGGTATCGTGGGCGTTCAACTCTATTGATAAGATTTTTTCATCAAAGCAACAAGGTCCTGGAGAACCGGCATGTCCAGCTGAGACTCACGCTGTGGCGTACGTCATGGATTTGTGGGGAGTGTGGCAGATGATGTGCCTCTCAGTTCTGTCTCAGGAGGATGTTGAAGACGTTTACATATTTGGACTTATGATAGCAGGGACTCTGCTTTTTGGCATCGGCGGGGCTCTGTTTTATCGACTTTTGAAAAAGACATCGGCAGCAGTTTCGGCCATGGAAAAGCTTCCGAGTCAGTGTGAAGGTCTGGTCCTCGCTGTGGGAACTTTGAATCATCTGGTTTTTGAGCTTAACTGTAACGTGGAGGCGATTGAGAATCGCAGACCACCTGCGGCTTCTGGAACTCGTCAGCGTGGTGGGTTCGACCTAGAAGGAGACTCATAGCATGGATCAGTGAAATGGAATCCCACAATTAGGCATTTTCGGAACCAGAACGCCCAGATGGACTCAAGGCTGAAGAAAAAAGTAATCTGAAGAAAAACAAGAATCAAGCTTATCTGAATCTGACTCCTGACGGCCTCGGAGACAGGCTGACTATCAAATTTCTCCTGGGACATGAGTACCCAAGGACAAAAGTTTCATCTATCGCACCACAAAAAGGTGTTCCCAGTTTATTGAGCATGCATCATGATGTTCCCAGTTTATTGA